CAACAAACTAGGCATCAAAGGAACACACCTCAAAATAATAACAGCCATTTAAAACAAACCCACAGCCAACATAATACTGAATGAGAAACCCCGAAGAATTGGAACAAGGATGTACACTCCTACCACTCATATTCAGCCATAATACTGGAAGTCCCAGCCAGAGCAGTCAGGCAAGAGAAAGACATAAAAGACATCCAACTAAGAAAATAAGTCATCAAACTATCTCTTTGCTGATAATATGAAACTATACCCAGAAAACCTTAAAGATTCCACCAAAAAAATCCTTGTCCTGGTAAATTTATGCAAAGTCTTACGACACACAGGCCAGTCATGGTGGCTCGCGCCTGTAATCTCAACACTCTGGGAGGCTGAGGTGGGTGGATTGCTTCAGGTCAGGAGTTCAAGACCAGCCTTGCCAGCATGGTGAAACCCCATCTCAACTAAAAATACAAAAATTAGCCAGGCATGGTGGTACATGCTTGTAATACCAGCTACACGTGGGCAGCTGAGGCAAGAAAATTATTTGAACCTAGGAGGCAGAGGTTGCAGTGAACCAAGATCGTGCCACTGCAGTCCAGCCTGGACAACAGAGCAAGACTCTATCTCAAAAAAAAAAATCAATGCACAAAAATTAGTATCATTTCCATACATCAATAACATTGAAGTTGAGAACTAAATCAAGAACGCAATTCTATTTATAATAGCCACACACGGAAAAAAGACCAAAAAAAAAAAAAACAGGAATACATACATCCAACAAAGGAAGTGAAAGATCCCTACAAGAATTATAGAACATTGCTGAAAGAAATTATAGACAACAAACAAATAGGAAAGCGTGCAGTGCTCATGGATTGGAAGAATCAGTATCATTAAAATGGTCATACTGCCTAAAGCAGTCTACAGACTCAACTCCTTATCAAACTACAACGTTATTTTTTTCAGAATTAGAAAAAACTGTTTTAAACTCCATATAGAACCAAAAAGGGCCTAAACAGCCAAGACAATCCTAAGCAAAAGAATAAAGCCAGAGGCATTGTATTACCCAGCTTCAAACTAGATTATAAGGCTACCGTAACCAAAACAGCATGGTACCTGTACAAAGAAATGAACACATACCAATGGAACAGAATAGAGACACCTGAAATAAAATTACATACCTACAACCAACTGATCTTCCACAAAGTCAACAAAATTAAACAATGGGGAAAGGATAATCTATTCAATAAGTGGTGCTGGGAAAACTGGCTAGCCATATGCAGAATAAAACCAGATCCCTTTTTCTCACCATATAAAAAAATTAACTCAAAATGTATTAAAGACTTAAACATAAGACCTCAAACTATAAAAATCCTAGAAAACCTAGGAAGTCCTCTTCTAGGCATTGGTGTAGGTAAATAATTTATGGCTAATACTTAATTTGCATAGAGAGGGTCTCACTTTTCTGCCCAGGCTGGTTTTGAACTCTTGTCTTCAAGCAGTCCTCCTGCCTCAGCCTCCCAAAGTGCTAGAATTACAGGTGTAAGCCATCTCACCCAGCCTGTACTCGTCTATTTATCACAGCACTATTCATAATAGCAAACACATAGAATCAACTCAGGTGCCCATCAATGGTGGGTTAGATTTTTTAAATGTGGCGCATATACACCATGGAATACTCTTAATACACAGCCGGAAACAAGAAGGAAATTATGTGCTTTGCAGCAACATGAATGCAGCTGGAGGCCAGTATTCTAAGCAAATTAATGCAGAAACAGAAAACCAAATACAACATATTCTCATTTATAAGTAGGAACTAAACATTGGGTACACACGGACACAAAAAATGGGTACAATAAACACTGGGGATTCTAAATGGGGATAGGGAAGGAGGGGAGCAAGTATTGAAAAACTATCAGATGCCTCGTTCACTTCACGTCCACTACTTGGGTGATGAGATCACAGCAGCCTAAACCTCAGCACCGCACAACATACCCATGTACCAAACCTGCACATGTACCCGTGTGTCTAAAACAAAATAAAATTTTCAAAGTTACAAATAAATAGAAAGGGTTCAGGAGCTGTTTGCAATTCTTCCCCACTCAACTTCACCCAAGACTGACCAGTAGACAGTCAAGCACTGTTTGTCAAACTTCATAATTTTGTCAGTCTAATGAATAAGAAGTGAAATTTCATTCTAGTTTTAATTTACATTATGTTTACTATATGTGAAGTCGGACAACTTTTCATATATTTAGGGTCATTCATACGTGTCTCTTTTTTTTTTTTCCTTGAGGCAGTCTTGCTCTGTCACCCAGTGTTGCCCAGGCTGGAGTTCAGTGGCAGGATCATGGCTCACTGAGGCTTCCTCTTCCCAGGCTTAAGCAATCCTCCCACCTCAGCCTCCCAAGTAGCTGAGACTTCCAGCATGCACAACTACGCCCAGCTAATTTTTGCACTTTTTGTGGAGATAAGGTTTTACCATGTTGCCCAGACTGGTCGCGAAATCCTGGGCTCAAGTTATCCTCCTGCCTCGGCCTCCCAATATACTAGGATTATAGGTGTGAGTCACCACAACCAGCGCATTCATATGTCTCTTTTTGTGAATTGTCCTCTCCTGAATTTTGCCCATTTTGCTACAGAATTTTGGTATTTTTTTCCCCCTCTTAATTAAAAAAAAAAAATGCGTGTTTATTAGATATATTAGCCTTTTATCTTTGGTATACGTTACAAATATTTTCTCCCAGTTGTAATTTGTTTTTAGTTTTGTTTACGATGGGGATTTTTGCCATGCAGGAGTTTGGAGGTTTTTTAATGTAGTCAAATTTTTCAGTCTTTCCTTATCAAGTATCTAGCTTTTTAGTCGTAGGTAGAAAGCCTTTATTTACATCCAAGTTGTACAGAAATTTACCATGCTTTGCTTTAGTACTTATGTCATTTCGTTTGTAAAATTCAGATCTCTAGTCCATTTGGAGTTTATTCTTGTATATGATTTTTAAATGAATACAGGGCTGGGCGCGGTGGCTCAAGCCTGTAATCCCAGCACTTTGGGAGGCCGAGGCGGGTGGATCACGAGGTCAAGAGATCAAGACCATCCTGGTCAACATGGTGAAACCCCGTCTCTGCTAAAAATACAAAAAATCAGCTGGGCATGGTGGCGTGTGCCTGTAATCCCAGCTACTCAGGAGGCTGAGGCAGGAGAATTGCCTGAACCCAGGAGGCGGTGGTTGTGGTGAGCCGAGATCACGCCATTGCACTCCAGCCTGGGTAACAAGAGCGAAACTCCATCTCAAATAAATAAATAAATAAATACAATTTACAATTTTCTAAATGGCCATCTAGTTTATCCCAACAACATTTCTTAAAAAAATTATCTGTGCCCCAGTGATTATATGCATCATCTTTCTCCTATTCTGGAAGTCTATACATAGTTGTGTTTATCTCTAGACTTTCTATTATCTTCCATTGCTCTGTTTACCTAGTCATGCGCCAGTACCACATGGTTTTAATCACACAGGCTTTGTAGTATGCTTTATTATCTATTAGGGCTGGCATCACCTCAGAGCTCTTCCTTTTCAGGGTTTTCCTAGGTAGTCTTGTGCATTTTTTTCCCATATGAACTTTAATACAACTTCTGCTGGTCTTTAAAAATACTCATGGTTATTTGTATTAAATGCATAAGTTGACTTAGAACGGACATCTTAATCCAGTTAAGACGTGCCAAAAATAAGGCATGTTGTTCCATCTGGTCAAGTGATTGGGACTTCTGAGATTTGGTATTCTCTCTTAGACACTTCCTTAGGTAGTTTAGGTCATTAAGTAAAATATTAAGTATTTCTGAAGCCGCTAATATGCCCTTGGCACTCTATGAGGCCCGATAGAAGTGAAAAAGCAGATTCTGTCCTCAAGCAGCTTAGCACTTCACGAGAGCAACAGACTAACACACCGAAAGCAAAGCAGCCGTGCTGTGTGAGTGCAGAGAAAAGCGGGAGTAAGGAGGGCTAGAGTCACGAGGTATCAAGACTGGAATCACCCGCCCTGGGGGGGCTTGTGAAAATGTAGGCAGGCAGCAAGGGGGAGGAAGGGGTCCCAGTGAGGGGAACCCTGGCGAAAGCTCAGAGGAGGACTGAGTGTGTCATGTTTCACAGAACAGAGGGCCCCATCCAGACTGTTGGCTGGAACTCTGGGTGCGGCCAACATGACCCTCCCTCCCAGCCTCTGGGAGTTATGCCTCCATGTTATTAATAGTCCCTAAACACTAATTACTTATTCATTAAAACGATGTTAGTGAATGCTTACTGGGCTTCCAGACACCAGCCCTTTAGAAGGGTAATTTCTGTACATTGCTACCTGTTCAGGAAATGGCCTTGAGTTGTATCATCCAATACGGTAGCTACTTGCTACGTGTGGCTGTGGAGGTCTTATGCTATGGATAGAGCGACTGAGCAACTGAATTTCTAATTTTATGTAATCTGAATTCATTAACTTTTATTTTTACAATGAACGCAGTATAAAATACTTTTTATTAAACCCAACTTTATTGTTTGGGGAGGGCTACATTTTAAACATGGTGCTATATAACATGATTGCTGTATCACAATATGTGTGTCCAATTTCCTTTTTTCTTTTAATTAATAATTATTCCCAGTGTGTAAGTGGACAATTTACTTTTCTTTAATGTGGCTACTAGAAAATTTTAAATGACATATGCAGTCCACATTGCATTTTGTTTTGACAGCACTGGTCTAGAGTCTCAGAACTCAACGTAGTCTGGCTGGACTCATGTGAGAGCCCACCCAGACCTTCAGGATCTGCCCATGACTAAGTTTGCCTGGTGAATCCTACACACAGTAAGAGAAGCACCAATCTGGATGACTTCAGAAGACATCCAGCCATTGGCAGGTACCCAGCGTGACACTCCCCCAAATCCTTCTGGGGCCAGGGGCAGGAGGAGGCTGAGGGAGCACAAGAAGACCCCTGCCTGCCATTGTGACATCACAGAGTAAACCCCATGGGTCACCTGGCCCCTCCCTGGCTGGCATTCTGCCCTCAGGACATCCTCCTCAATCCATCACACACCACCTTACCCCTCTGCTGGCAAGAGGGGCCTGATTCATCCTCATGCGAAACATTCTATCCAGCTGATTGAGACGGTACAGAAGAGAAACTGAAACTTCTCTGCCTTTGCACTGCAAAAGTGAATGAGCGATCCCTCTCAACTGACTCAAAATGTTTACCTCACCCAGGAGGTAGGTACATTGATTTTGAGATCTCTTGTACATCTCATACACATACCCTTAATGCTGGATTTGTAATACAGGTTACACTAACTTATCAATATCATAGATTTCTCATGGTCACAGTAAGGAGCTTGGAAATGCACTATAGGGTTCTACAAAATGGAATGAAAATGTGTTACTCAGCCCAGCATTCATAGATAAACCTGGTAAGGTCCATACCTTGGCCTATTACCTTTTCATCTTCTTTCATTAAAACTTCCATTTCTTCTTCCCTTGCCTCATCATCTTCCTTTCCCTCTCTGTTCCCCGGGCTCCCTATGCCTCTCTTTTTTTCTTTTCATCCATATCTGGTATCTGGATTTTTAGTCGTTTTATATTTTTAGTCAATTTATATTCCTGTTGCCCAAATCTGGACTCTAGTAAAGGCCCAGTAGTGGTGGCAACGATAGAGCTGTGGGTCACCCGGTGAGCTGAAAGAGCAGACATTAAGTTTTCTGCCAGAGAACAGTGAGACATCCCCAAGGTCCTGCCGGAAGCCAGCTCTAATCTGGAACTGGGAAAGAGAACACAAGGTTGAGCTCTTCCTAGTCTCAGAGAATCCAGGAGAGTCTTCAGGGACCCTTCTAGACCCAGGAAGACTCTCACACTCTGCAGAGAAGTTGTGGCTTGTTTAGGACCTAAACAGGACTTACCTTTCAGGATGTTGTGGACCTACATCCTGAAACGACCAGCCGCCCAACTTTCAGCTCTAAGTGTTACTTAGAAAAACAAATGCTGTGCATTCTCAAATATTTTGCCTTTCTCAGGAGAGAAATATGAAGCTTGCGATTAGCCAGCAAAGTAGCACATACACACACACACACACACACTCCAACACACACACTCCAACACACTCACACACACTCACACACACATTTGCACACATACACACTCACACACACTCCAACACACACACTCACACACACATTCACACACATACACTCACACACATTTGCACACATACACACTCTCACACACACACTCACACACTCCAACACAGGGAGCAATGTGGTGTGTTGTTGACCAGCTGGAAGTTAGGATCTCAAAGGAAAGAACAGGATAAATTAAGGGGCACATCTGTGACTGCAGAGCTGAGCTGGTGGTTCTGAAGAGCCATCAAAGTGTGGGCTCAGGCAGCCTCCCTAAATCAGAAGCAGCCCAAAGTGAATAGATGATAAAGAAGTGGATGTGAACATGGCAGAAAAAGCCAGTCATGGCTTAGAATTAATTTTATTATTGTTCTTTATCAGTGGTTTTCTAGGAGAGGCACAGAGGGAATATGGGAGAGTCTGGTTGCCAATTTGTACCTGAGAACTATAAAGCACACTCAACCCATTGTCTCATTCTGCAGGAGGTCCCATAATCTGGCCTGCAATCTGTACATTTTGTTAAAGGTGACTGTGCCCTGGCTTGTACTGAGTGGCAGCCCTGTGATGAGTCAGGCAGCAGTCCTAGAAGGTTGCCAATGGTGACTCTACTATTTACTTGTTTTGTGGCCTTGAGCAAGTCAAACCCTCCCAGTCGGAACCCTCACTTGTAAACTGGAGATGCCACGTCCCTTTCAGGCTAGTCGTGAGGTTAAGGAAGATGCCTGTGAAGAGTCTAGCAAAGTGTCTGCTGGTAGCACAGGTTCCCTCCCCTTCGTTTCCTCTTAGAGGCACTCTTCCTCTACCTCTTTTATTTTCACAGAACTGAAGACAGCTCCTGGCCTTCATTTGCCCCGGGGCTAAATTTAACCCTGCGGGAAGGTAACGTGGCCAAAATCCTCAGTGCAGTCGTTCCTAGAGTCGTAAACAGAACTGGGATCTGCTAAGGGGTCTGAGTGGCGCAGTCCCGCCCCTCGGGTCCTACATCCCCGTCCTTAGCACGGGAGCCTGGGACCCGTAGCTTTGGGAAGCAAGGGCAGGGAAATGCCTGACTTTGGACTCTCAGCAGCCCGCCACATCCCGAGCTCTGGCCCACCGGCCTGGGTGTGAGGAATCCTTCCCTCCGACGACCCCGTCTCTCCTGCCCTCTCTCCCAGCCTCACCAGGCCGCAAAGGGGCCGCGCCACCGCCTCGGGTGTCCTAGCGCCCCGGCCCAGCTCCCGGGCACACATAGCCGCGCCCTCCGCGGCTCGCCAGGTCCCCCGGGCTGCCCTGGCCGTCCCTGCTCTCTGGGAGGGCCCCGGGGACACGGTTCTCAGCCGACGCAGGAAGACCCAGAGGAAGAAACAGCCCAGATCCCCAGCCCCACCCGGTCAGGAAACCCGAGGTGTTAGCGGCCGCGGGGCGGGGCCTCGCAAACAATGCCAAACACGCCCCGCCAGTTGCCGTGGCAACGCGCCCCGTTGCTAGGCGACCGGGCGCCGTAGTAAACGGGAGGAGGCGCGTTACTCATCGGGGTTGGAGACAAAGGGGGAGCGCTCGGAAGTGGAGATGACGCGGCCCAGGCATCCCCTAGAGGCCCCACCCGTTACGTCCCGCCTCGCCCGCGGTCCCCAAGAGCCCCCGGCCCCAACCGACCCGCGGGCGCTGTCACCCGCGCAGGAGCGATTGCCCCACAGGATGTGCAGATGTGGCTGCCCCTCTGATTCACCCCAGCTGCTTGGGGCCTGGAAGAAAGGCGGCTTCCTCTCCTGGAAATGACTGCATTAGCAAAAGTCCTCAAACAATTCCATTAAAAAGCGGAAAGGGAAAGACGAGAACGAGGCCCCGAGATGCTTTTCTAGGGTCCTTCCCACCGAATGGAAGTGGAAGTATTCCCGGAACTCGGGACCTATGTTAGGAAGACTGGAGCCATTTGGCTGTGCGAGCATTTGAGATGATGTGGCCCCTTAGGCCTGGTTACAGTTGAGGATAAATCCCGGAACTACGTGTCCTACAGTGCTGTAGTCATTTTGGACACTAAGTACGGGCATTTTGGTGGCATTACTCTTCCCTTCTGGGCTGGGAAACAAATGTGAAAGTGTCCTGTGTGAAGACCTTCTTTGCCTTCATCACTGAAGGGGTCAAAGGTCAAGCATTGATGTAAACATTGCCGTTAGAGCAGCAAAAGCTCAGAAGGTTAGAGATACATCATCCAAAATGGCATCTAATCTGTAGGGCACCACCCAGCTTGGAAAAGGACATAACATTTCCAATCTGTCACTGGTGTTTGAGCAATGTGTTTGTCCCCTGATCTCTGTGCACTAAAGAAAATACTCTTGCATGAGATCATCACTGTTTTCTGGGGTTTGCTCATTGAAAAGCAGGAATGTTTCCACAGGTGAGAGGAAATGGATTGGCAGAGAATCTGTTTGATGAAACTCTGGGTGCATCTGTGTAGAAAGGCTTAGGGTGTGTCTGTGGACCCATGGGCTTCCTTTGTAGCTTCTCACTGCTCTTACATATGTGAATCGGGAAGCATCCTGTTTCCTTTAGCAACAGAAGGCTGTTTGGACACACTTCTTTATTCCCATCTTCACTCAGGATTCCTAATTGTATCCATGAGCCTTGTTTGCATTACACACTTCATTCATTCATTCATAGGCGTTAAAACACTGCGAGGTTCTGAGGATCAACAATGAATAAAACATAGCTGCTACTACATCAAGCAACTTAAAGTCAAATGAACATAACAGACACGTAAGCCATGTGATGAGTTACACGAGAGAGGCACATGCTAGACGCGGAGGAGCAGAGAACAGGGGCATGGTCATCAGATCCGTGATAGCCGAGACATTTACGCTTCACTCCAGCCCTTTCTCTACTGAGTAACAGAAAGGAGCTAATCACTCATGGGTTGGAAATCTGACTCCTGGGAGGACAGAGATACTCCTGCCAGTCAGGGCAAATAAACCTTTCCTGGAAGATGCCAGGATGAATGACGGGAAGAAAACATAAAACACCGGATCCCTTAGCCCCAGGCCTCGGCATTAGGGAAGTGGCGTGGTGTATAAACTGCTCTCCAGCTGAGCATTCACCTATCATTTTAATCACCTCTAAACTGCTGTGTATTCACAAAACCATAAACTGCATTCCCATTTACAAAGTATGTGTGGATGCCCCAAAACCACTGTTTTCCCTTGATGCACACCCTAATAAATGTGGTTTTGTCGAGTAGGAACAGTGACTGGGGACCTTAGCAAATATAGGTCAATCCCCACCATTGGCCCTGTGGTGTCATAATGGTGAGGTGCCTACATATTCCTGCGGAGGTCATCTTGAAAAGATCACAGCCCAACATACCAGAGCTAAATACTGTTTTTAGATGTGGAATCTTCTTGTCTGTGCTGAGTCATGAGCTTCTGAGCCGAACCTAATTATATTTCTGTCGCATTGACTAGCAATTACTTCTTCTGTTCTAAGAGAGGAAAGGGAAGAAAAAAATATTAACATGCCCAAATTACAATGAAAGGAAGTGAGTGGGATGCTGGGCTCTGATGTTTGTGGCCAGGCAGAGAAACTCATGATTTGTCAAAAAAGAGGAAATTAGACGTTGTGGCCCAGGGCCCTTGGGGAAGGGGTGATCAAGACTGGTCACATCCAGCAGCCAGGCAGCCAAGCACACACCCAAAATGCACAGCTTCCCAAGGGGTGGGTCCAGGCTTTGTGGAGGCCTAAAATAATATAATTTTGGAGGCCCTCTCTAAGAAAAAGAGTACACAGTTGCACGTACAAATTAGGTTACAAGGTTTGAGAAGGGGTGGAGTGAGTAGGGGACATGGAAGCTGAAGTTTCATTAGCTTCACTCTAAATCCATCCCTGGGCCTCCTCATATAACACACTTAAGACTCTGCCACTCCCATCCCCTTTTCCCTGGAAAAGAGAACTTCAGGCTATTAAGGTACAGGGGGTGCGGTTTATGAGCAGAGGCAATAAAAACTGAAGACATCAGGCAGTGCCAAACAGTGACTCAAGCGAGACATGAGAAGTGTCTGCAAGTATTTGAAGGGTGTAAGCACAGAGAAGGGAAAATAATTATTCACTGTTCTGGGGTGGAAAGAGAAT